TTGCTCTGTTATAAAAAATCGACATTGAAAATCAAGGGGTACATTTTTTTAAGATTCTAGGTGAAACATCTATTGAGAGACCCAAGTTTGCAACTCTAATTAAAAATTTTAAATGATCAACTTCACCGAGATCAAATGATCAAACTTCACCGAGTAATTAAGTTGGTTGCAACTAGCGAGGGTAGTCATACTTACTGGTAAGTTTCTGTGATTAAGAAATATTTCCCTGAATTTGAATGGAATTACCTGAGATTCCCTGATTTTCCCGGTCCAAAAATGAATACCCTAATTTTTTGTGTAGTCGACAACCTGTCTAGGAAAATGTTTGAACACTCCGTTGTCTGTACTAACACAAATCTTAAAAAATGGTATTTCCAAGATTCTGAGGCTTTGACATTTGTAAGGAGCATTAGGCTATGATTTTTGACGTAGGACTACGTCTGTGATTTCTATATAGGGGTACACTTTGTGAAAACCAAAAATGGAACATGTAATAAAATTATGAAAGATTTTGAACGTTAATAACTCAGCTGTCCCTGGACCAATTTCAGTAATGTTATCGCCAATCGATCAGAAATATTTCTACGCATCTGTTAAATTTAAGGCTTTATCATTTTTCAAAATTTCACTGCAGAAAATTGCACGCGCGAGCTGCAGCTCTTATGAGCATCCATAGAAGGAGGAAGAAGCCGCACCGCTATTGATCGGAATCAGTAGCTCTTCGTGAGTTGCTGTGGGCCATCTATGTCAAGTGCCTCTTACTAAGGAGTATGAACAGCTTCCCACTCAAATTCCTATTCCAAAACACAAGCTCCTGCTGCAGTTAACAATTAAGATTTATCATATAAGACCACGTAGTCCTACGTCACCATTGCGTACAACCCAATAAGGCTGTCCCTTGTAGTTTTTTGTTTAAGAAGAATCCCAGCATTTCGAGGAATGTAAATTGTATTCCCCTTAAGCTTATCCCCAAGTTACGAATGACCCAAGAGTAACACTACATTGTTTACATTTGATATATAAGCCCTTTTCATATGTTGCTCGAGATATCACAAAGAGGTGATATCTACACTGTAAGACTTATGCACGTCCATGTTACGTGAAAAATCACGTAGCCCCTGAAACATTTACCTTCCATCATTGCTAAGAGCTTCACGTAGAATCTACGAAAACGATTTTTTTTAAGTGCGATTCAATATGGCGCTGATGCAGCTTTAGTGTCAGTTCCTGATTTGAGCTTAGCATTCAAAAACCTAGGGTAGACCAGTATCAGTTATGGCTATACTTTCCTATTAATGGCCTAACTCCATAGGCCATAATTGGAACACACCATAATAGGAACGTATAGCCATGACTGGTACACTTACTCTATTTAAAATAATGAAACTTATGACAGCATTTGGGAGCGGGATTTGAAATAATTAACACCCGAAAATACCGTCAAAACCATCAATCAAATCACGTAGCTTTTAGGTGAAAATATGGTACGCTTAATTTTTTTCCCTTGATTTGTTTTCCGTCGATCTTGTTTCCCGTACTGAGCACTAATGCTGCCGACGCCAGTGAGGCAGCTCCCACACCTGAACCCTACCTATCGACCCATCAACTCATGAACCGAAGACTAACGGAACATCCCGGCGGCGCCGACTGGGATTGAACCCAGGCCTGCTGGGGTGAGAGGCAATCACGCTTACCACTACACCAGCGGCACCGCTATTTTAGATTTATTCGATTAATTTTCGATGACTTCAAACTAGGAGTTGTAAAATTTGAATTCTCCTTAGAATTAACTTGCCATTCTCCTCACAAATCCCGAGAATTCTCTTCCAAATTCGATTAGAATTCTAGTCAGAACTCTTTTGGAATTCTTCTCCGAATTTATTTGAAGTTCTCCTGGAATTTTTCTCACAGTTAATAATATTCCTCCTTAGCATACCCTAAGTATTCTCCGAAATGTCTCATGAAATTATGCATCGAAATCCCTTTCCATGTTCCTAGAAATTTCTTGGAATTCTCCTCAGAATTATCGTCAAATTATATTCGATGGTAATGTTGATTTGCCAGGGAGAGTCATGCCTTTCGAGAAATCATCGAGAGAAGCCATTGTTTACAAAAGCTGTAACGCCCTAATTCCAGCTCTATCTAGATTTGTTAACTGCAGCAGGAGCTTGTGTTTTGTATAGGATTAGGAATTTGAGCAGGGTTCTCTCTGTTTAAACTCATTAGTATGACGCGCTTGACATAGATGGCCCACAGCGACTCACGAAGAGCTACTGAATCCGATCAGCAGCGGTGCGGCTTCTTCCTCCTTCTATGAATGCTCATGTGGGCTGCAGCTAACTACTTGCAGGCAGCCTTTCGTTGTGTACTGGAGAACAATGTTCAACGTCACGCAGCTGATGCCGACGACCGGACACATTGGTGTTTCTGGCGCGTAAAATTTAGCCCAAAAAATCATGGCTACCATGTCATACTGCAGAATACAGTGTTGCTTACAAAACAGCTGCTTGACCATGCCAAACGATTATCAGTCTCTTAAATAATTAATAACTATTCAAATTGAAGTTTGTCTGTTGTTGTTGTAGCTGAGAAAATTCCGATAAGGATAGGTATAGAACTTTGTAACATAGCAAAATGGAAATAGGCTAGAAGTCAATGAACAAAAAGTTTGGTAATTTCCATATAAACTCCAAATGGTTTGTACCCAATCAGTTTCTTACCAAATGAGGTCAAATTCTGGGAAGCTAATCTGAACTCGAAAATTTCAAATTTTGCATCAATCTAGTGTGCATCCAATAGGTCTTGTCTATCTTTTAACAACCTTCTAAAAGGCAGCCACAGCCACATTTTTATTTTGCTAGTCGGCTTTCAGATGATATTGTATTTCCATTGAATGATTTATAAACTGGTTGTCGCATTTAAGTGGTTTTACTTCGATTCTGTTTCTCCTTGACATTAGTTTTTTTTTTTTTTTTTTTTTTTTTTTTTTCCTTTGGTTTGTTTTTTTCCGTCGATCTTGTTTTCCGTGCTGAGCACCAATGCTACCGACGTGCCAGGAAGGCAGCTCCCACACCTGGATCCTACCTATCGACCCATCAACTCATGAACCGGGGACCAACGGCTTTACTTCCCATCCGAAGGAAGGCGTGATCAGAGATGTTATGCCTCAGAACATCCCGGCGGCGCCGACTGGTATTGAACCCAGGCCTACTGGGGTGAGAGGTAATCACGCTTACCACTACACCACCGGCGCCGTTCCTTGACATTAGTGTTTGATTTGTTATGTACAGGAATTTGCAGGTCCGCACTATTCATAAATAGAGACTAGTACATGATGCTCCATCCATTTGCTAATTGCAACCATTTGAAAGTTCTACATGAATTCTTCACGAGGTTCTATCTACTTTGATCGATTCTCTTTTGAATAACCAGAAGTTGTTTAGCGCTCAGATCGTCAAAATTTGATTGATATTTAATACAACATGGTATGTTTTTGCAGCTGAGTTATCAACGAAACAGAAAGTCGATGAAGAGACTACATCCAATCAGATAGGACCTTTTGAAATGTTCAGAGATTCGATCAATGCAACCTCTTCATCGACTTTCAATTTCGTTAATAACTCAGTTGCAAAACCTTTCCCTGTTCTATTTGATGTTTTGGACGGTAGATAAGAACTTCCTTTATCAAACTATGTGGTAAAATTAGTGTGAAATCTGTTTGCATAACAGTGGCCATCACAAGAGAAAGTCGATGAAGAGAATCGATCAAAGCAGATAGGACCATTTGAAATGTTCATCAAGAAATGTTCAATAGTTTACGATTGATAACAAGCATAATTTTGAAACCAAACAAATTTTGCATTAATTCTGAATCGGTGGGCGCAATTAAAATTAAAATGCATCCATAAACGACCAAGTTATAAGCGTTTAAAACCTAACACTATTTCGTTACATGATTAATTTGCACCTCAGCCATATTCCAGATAGACGAAGTCCTACGCCAAAAATACATAAAGAACCATTGGAACATTTTCTGTATCTTGTGTTAGCCTTGTATTTCCGTTTTGTTTCCCTTAAGCTTAGGATATTGAATTTTATTTCTTTGACTAAGATTAGATTTTATTAAATGTTTGAAACTTGTAAAATAATTGAATTCGAGAGTTTTGAACATCTGTCTAATAGTTTTTTTTGTATGTACTAGGTAGATATTGAAAACTTTATTTTTAATTTAAATATACACATACTAGGTATTCAATAATACTTCTACCACGTTGTGAATAATAAATTTAAATTTAATTGTTCATGACTGTTTGTACAACACAACTGCTATTTCCCCCTTTAGCCCTTGTTATTATTGTTCGCACATCGCACTTTATCCAACAGCAGCAGCAGCAAAGTTGAGTGACAGCAGGGTTTCCTTTCTCCTTCACTCCCACTGGCAGTGGATTGCTATGAAGTGAGTTTAGAAAAATAGGCACTAAAGCTTATTTTAGAACCATTACAAAACAATGCAGGAGTGAATAATTGCGTATTAACTCTCACTGATCCCACAGCGAACAGATGTTGTACGCTGAAAAACCTGCCTTAATGATCCTGTTACCATCACCTTGGATGATTGATTGCATAAATTGAATAGAAAAATACTAACTCGAAGGGCGACATCACTGATCCGTTTCCTGCGCCTCCTCTGATTAGCCACCAACCATAAACACGTTATTCCATTTGCACCCACATTTCCTGCAATAATTCTTCGAATTTGCTAAGCTTTTGTCCGGACCACCAAAGACCCGCAGCCCCCACCAGGAAAGTTACGACAAAAAAGTATAGAAAAATCTTCGCCGCCATGTTTGATATTTGGCCTCCGTCGTCGAGTCGACCCTGCTCTGCTGCTCGACTGTGTGAAGAAAATGGAAGCCCCATTTTTACGGATCCGCTCCGGCCGCGCACACACCACACGGAATGGCTGCTGTTTGCTTCTCGGAAATCCTGCCGAAACCTACCTTTTTCTGTTCCGTGCTGCTTCTGCCTGCTGGACGACTGTTTATCGCCAGGATTTGGAACCGTCCGCAACCGAATTGGGAATCCTTTCAGAAGTAATTTTCACGACACACGATACTTTCAAACACAACCGAGGAACGATCCAAAACGCAAAACCATTTGATGACACGACAAACTCGCGAGCGCTGAAAAACCACTTTCCGTCCCACAGCGAAGGAAAACTGAGAGCTATTAGTTGACTTTTCCCTTTTGGGCTGTTTGTTCGCAGCTCGATTGGCTCTCTCTCCCGCAGCCAGCGTGTGTCGGGTAGTGTGCGTGTGTTGAGAGCTTTTGATGCTTCGTCTCCTTCTGGCGCATGGTTACTAGTCAAAATGGAACGGTTCACATCCCTCGGGTTTTGAATTCTCTCAAGCTGAATCAAGGAATGAGAGAGCAAAACGGGAACGGCGATGACAGTAAGACGATTGATGGCGCAGGGACGTCTGATTGAGACGGATCGAAGTGTCTTGGCAGCAGAATGAAAAGCATTCGGAAAAGAAAGGACCGAGAGAAAATAGTCGTTCATATTGAAAAAAATGTGATTTGAATGTTAGGTGTATTTTTTTTTAAGCAGTCATCCGGAGTGATTTGAGATTTGGGTAAATTGCATTTGTATAGAAACACGGCAATCACCCATTTCTCGCGAATAAAAGCTCAATCTACTATAACTAAACTAATAACACTATGAGGTTGAGGAATGTCCTCTATCGTTTGGTATAATTTGTTTATTTAATTCAAGAGAAATCGACAATTGACGTCTTTGTTTACAAAAGCAATTACGCCCAAATCTCAAATCACTCCTTATTGAAAATGTTAATTAGGAATAATGTAATCAAAATCAGTTTTTTGTTTGTTTCAGAATTGATCGACATGACAGAATTTCAACTAGCAGGAGATATTTTGAATACTTCCAAATCAACCTGCCGCCTTGCGAGAATATGTGAGCGCCGCCATTTGAATGTACGCACAGTATGCGACCCTCAGAATAATACACGATCAACCGGAAGTGTTGAAAAAAAATATCCAGAGGACTTAACTGCAATCTTCGATCAACCGGAGATCTTTCGAATACTTCCCGATTAACCTGCCGGTTTGGAAGAATATCTGAACATTAGAATTTTTGATCACCGACGAACCGACGTGACAGCTCATACAAGCTACATTAAAATTCGTGCCCAAGACTCCATATTTAAAATACGTTAAACACTATCGACATCTACTCATCCGATCGCGTCACCACGTCATACAATGTGCAAGGACACGAACCCACGTATAATTTATATTGCCTTGGTTTGCGTTTCATCTCGTTTGACAGATCTGATCGCCGGTTTGAAAGTTCGAATCGCTCGTTTGAAAATAATTCGAATTGTGGACAAACGAAATGCTCCTGTGGCATGTCGGTTCGTCGGTGGTTTGATGCTGAATGCTGATCTTCAGAATACCAATAAAGTCTTTAAAAATATCCAGAGGACTTTATTGATATCGAGATTGATATCTTATCGATAATCCGAATAAAATAATCGCATTCTCTAAAGTTCTACTATGGTTACTGTGCTTTGCAAAATTGTTTGTTATGGGCATTTCTAGACCAACAATTGAAATGGCCTTAACTCCATTTTGTAAACAAACGTTGTAAGGCCATTTTCTCGCGAACCGAAGTCCGCAAAGGCAAACCAACATAATGAACAGGTAGAGAATGAAGGTTTCGGTTCGCGAGAAAATGGCCTCACAAGGTTTCTTTACAAAATGGAGTTAAGGCCATTTCAATTGTTGGCCTTGATTTGTAATAAAATAAGGCCAATTTTGATCTTGTAAAATTTTAAAAATAACGTCATTGAAATTTAAAAAAAGTGGTTGCACAGAAATGTTACTTCTGATTGAAAAAAAAACGTCCGTGAAAACAATCCCCCTTATTCTGCGAGTCACGTGACTCTCTGTCACCGGTGAGGTGACAATTGTCACCTCGTGTGAGGTGACTCTCCATGTAAATCAAATGGAGAGTCACCTCACACGAGGTGACTATTGTCACCTCACCGGTGAGAGAGAGTCACGTGACTCGCAGAATAGGGGGGAATAGCTTTAGCCGTCGATTTCTCACGAATTAAAGCTAACACATGCAAAGTAACGACACCATCAGGTAGATTAATGTTTCTTCTATCAGCTGATATCTTTAACTTGCAGAAGCAAGCTTTTATTTGTGAGAAATCGACTGTTGAATTTGACGGAAACTTCTTATTCTACGATTTTTGTCGTTTTTAGGTGTTCATGGTTTGGAACCTTCCAAAAGTATCTTAGTTGGTAGTACCACCACCTGTGGCACGCATGGTTAATTCCCTTGCGTTTGACGTTTACACACTACCACCATCTGTTCAGCGTACTGTCCACCACAACAGATGGTGGTAATGTTTTAGCGACGATGTTTTACAGTGAGAAATATTCAATGTGTTATGTCTGTTTGTCTGTGCTATCACTTTAAACTATAACAGATACGTATTTCGTTTACTACTTACAAACTTATTCAGTGTCTAGTCATAGAATATGACTAGACAAGAAGTTTGCAAGTAGTAAACGAAATACGTATCTGTTATAGTTTAAAGTCATAGTGAAAGTTACAAAGTGATAGTGAATTAGTGAAAGTGATACAACAGTAAAAGTGATACAATAGTAGTAGAACTAAAAGGAAAAACAACGTAAAAGGTACACAAGTTTTCTACTAATTCGCTCATGAATCAATTTAGACGCATTTTTTGTTTATTTTTTCCCAAGCAGACATTATTTTTATCTATATCTCAGATGCAGGCATTTCGATCGAAAATGCCGTTTCCGTACAACAATATTTTGACAAAAATCAAGGATGCCATTTTGATTTTTTTTTTGCAAGATCCAAAATGGCCGAATTTTAGCACAAATTCACAGCTTCACAGATTCATTACCCACAGCATAATAATATGCAAAGTTTCGAGCAAATCGGAGAAGGTCGAGTCGAAAATTCAACATTTTTCGCTATTTTGCCTGGAACTGCTCTTATCATAAGTTCCCAGTTTCTGAAGATCCCTGAACTTGTGGGAAGTTCCGAAAACTTCTTACAAGTTCCATAAACTTGTATGATCTATCAATAGTTTATACAATCTTTCCTAAACTTCCAGGAAGTTAACTGAATTTCTACTAATTTGTAAGAATTTCCTATAACTAAAACAACATCTAAAAAGTTCCCTTATCTGCTAGACATTTCTCAGCTTCTTCAAAGTTCCCTGAAGTTTTAATTCTACCAAGATCTCAAAACATGTTTGAACTTCTCCGAACTTCTGGGAACCATAATAAAAATTGTACGGTTAATTTGCTTAACGACGTGTTCGGGGTTTGTAAAATAGTTTATGATTTTTTTTATTAGGGAAGCTCCTGAACCTTTTCCTCGAATATTTCTGATCATCTAGACAGTTCCCTGAAATCAAATGAAGGTATAAAATCTTCCAGGAAGTTTATTGAACTGATACGAAGATCTCTTAGGCACTAAGTAGTCTGCCGAAATTTGCAGAGCTTTAACAAAGTTTAGCGAACTTCTAAGAAGCTCCTTGAACTTTAACAAATTTCATTGCCCTTCTATGAAGTTTCACGAACTGCTAGGGGAATTTACGTATTCTCGGCAACCTAAGCAGTGACCTTCTTTCTATAGCCTTTTTCTCTATGGAACGCACACATATGCAATATTGGTTTGTTTACAATCTTTTGCTGCCAGCTGCTCTAACAATTTCAGTCGAATGAATTGTCAAAAACTGTTTTGAAACACTTTTACAAAGCTCCAATCTTCTCTAGTGAGAGCGAGTATTGTCGGCAACCAGTTTTTCTTCGGCAACCGTTCCATTTGAACTGCATGTAAATCTGCTGTTCTATTATCGGCAACTCGAAATCAGCTACAATTTGTAGTGCGTGTGTTTCATTTCAAGAAAACCCTGCTAGATTGCTTTTTCTCAGTGGTAAAAATATAGTCAAATTGAAGCTGAAAGCATAAAGAATCGTTTGCATGCATTCAGCGAAATGTTTTCGTAAGAAAATCCAATGAAAATAGTGTTTCAATTTGGGTTGCCGAAAATAGTCTGTCATGCCGAAGCCGTCATTTCCCCTACTTAATTCGCCAAAGTTCTGCAAAGTTCGCTAAACTACTAACACTAAGACCAGGGGGTTCCGAAGAAACATGCTCAATCTTTTGGCTCAGGAAGTACCAGACCTTAGGTTCTAAGACAGTTGAAGCACCCCTCGAAACCTTGGAACATCCATGAACCCCTCATTCAACTCTGTCAAATATATAAGACGAATAAAAAAACACAGATTCCAGTACGAGAATGGGGTATGCTTATAGATGTACTTGGGACCAATGGGCTAGTCAAGTAATGCACCAATTTGAAATCGTTAGTATCGTATTGATTGTAGCTACTACAAAGATCGCTGCATTTCTAAGAAGTTCCCTGAACATCTACGTTGAGGACTTCAGTAAAAGAAAAACATAGGAACCTCATTAAAGTTCCACAAATTTCTAGGAAATTTGCCAATTTTCCGTAATGATCGTTAAGTTTCTACAAATTTGATGATGTTCTACAAAGTTATCCGAACTTTTACAAAATGTGCTGCACTTCCAGAAAGTTACCTGGACAGCATTATGGTCAATCTAGTCAAAAGTATCGTCGTCTTGGTTCAGATGCTTCGAATTTCACTGCTTGTTTATTTATTTATTTATTTGTTCGTCTTCGAATAAATCGTATACACTACTCTATTTACCTATGATTCTTAAGTCACAAAGTCAAAATCAGCACCAGTTGACGATTAGACAAAAGGCAGCACGCTTTTAGAGCTGGACGCGGGGTTGAAACGTACTTGGCGGAGTTGAATAGGTCGCTTCCCAATCGTGATGAACACTGCTTGATAGCATCACTCGACATATCGAAGGCATATGATACCACCTGGTGATACGGCATTTTACGCACTCTGCGGAAGTGGCAGATAGGTGGGCGGATGTTCAATGTATAGAACAGTTTCATCGCCGACAGAACATTCCGAGTGAACGTGGAAGAACATTTATCGAGTGAAATGGCATTGGAAAACGGAGTTCCCCAAGGGTCAGTGCTGTCGGTCACGTTGTATTTTGCTGGTGGTACGGAGAAATAAGGAACGATAAGTGGGCGAAGAGCGTTG